TGAGCTGTTGATACAAGGCAGGATGGATCCCCCACACCATGACACCACCACCGCCAGCCTGAGCTGTTGATACAAGACAGGATGGATCCCCCACACCATGACACCACCTCCACCAGCCTGAACCGTTGATACAAGGCAGGATGGATTTCCCACACCATGACATCACCTCCACAAGCCCGAACTGTTGATGCAAGGCAGGATGGATCCACCACACCATGATACCACCAGCCTGAACTGTTGATGCAAGGCAGGATGGATCCACCACACCATGACACCACCAGCGTGAACTGTTGATACAAGGCAGGATGGATCCATGCTTTCATGTTGTTTACGCCAAATTCTGACCCTACCATCTGAATGTCGCAGCAACCAGTCTACCCATTCACCTCTGACATCAACAAGGCATTTTCGTCTGACATTAGCAACCATGCTACAATCAGTCACTTAAATCTCCTTTCTCCCCCATTCTGATGCTCAGTTTGAACTTCAGCAAGTTGTCTTCACCACGTCAACCTTCCCAATTGCATTTGTTGCTGCCGTGTGATTGGCTGATTAGCAATTTGTGTTACCACAGGTGCACCCAATAAAGTGGCCGGTGAGTGTATATCTGCCTTTCTGTTGCCAATGCCAATAGCATTCTGTAGCTTGGCACAAAACTTGTGTTTTGGTTAGATGGAAAAAACATGTAAAGGCTGTTGTAGTTCTAACCTAATGGTCTCCAAACATCGTCCCTTTTCTTGATCCACGTCTTGGGGTATTATTCCTCCCACTGATATCAACATTTGGGCATAATTCCTCGCAATGACACCAACAGTGGGTGACAGTTTCTCGCATTGACCTCAACAATGGGGCGGTCTGCCTCCCACTGACGCCAATGACTGGGGCGCTCTGCCTCCCACTGATGCCACTGATGGGGTGCTCTGTCTCCCACTGATGGGGCGCTCTGCGGCCAACGACGGGGCACTATTCCTCCTCCTACTGACCACAGGTACTATGTAATTTTTTTTCTTTTAAACTCCAACTGCCCAACCAGTGTGAGTCTTTGTTTACTCCAACTGGCCAGTCCAACCTCTCTGAGGTCTCTTAGAGACTTTATTTAGAAAGTTTGGAGCCCCCTGCTCTAGCCTAACGGTAAAGTGAAGCAACCCTTTATGGCACATGAAGGAAATGCAGTGCATGGAGATCGTCTTCCATACAAGGAAACCAAAGTCCAGAAGCTGTCTGCAGCATTATAATGACTGCAGATGATAATGTATACGATCTATCTCTGGAGACGTACAGGAGACAAAAATTCGAGACGTACAGGAGACAAAAATTATAACAAATTAACAGTCTGAGGAAGAACACCAAATCCATGGATACCCCAAGGTATAAACAATATCCCCAGTCTGGTAAACGGCAAAGTGGGCCACTGCCATAAGCTTTGGTAGTTTTGAGGTAGAGTGGACATTCAAGTCACCTCAAGTACCAGAACAAAAAATAGCGTAAAAGATCTAAAAAAGAAACATAGTAAGAAAGGGGGAGAGAAGTCAAAAGAAAGATAGAGAAGAGGCAGATGGGAAGGTGTCGATCCGAAGGGAGGCAGCCAATGGTTTACTGCCCTTAGATGTGGCTGCATTCATTTTCTTTTCTTTTTTCTAACTAAGGACATTGTCAGCAGGTAAAGTATGTAATCACTTGTTGGTCTTGCCAGGAATGTAGAGTTCTTGTCACTTCCTGTGAGCTCCACTGAAGAATATCTTCCTTCCTTGTTCTCTTCTGTAAAGTACCAATTGCCCAATGTGGTACAATAGGCTGAAAATTGAAATTCTAAAACAGGCACTGTGGATCGGCGCGTTTCACAATATTGTCACTTCCTCAGGATCCAAGCCTTGAATTAGGTATGTGATATTGGTACGCAAAATAACAATAGAATATATAATACCACCATATTCAATCCACCAAAGTATGCAAAAATCAAAACGTAAAACAAAAAAAAAAAAAAAACTAACAGTGAATTGAAATATCACTTTGTGGAAATCAGCGTTGGGTGAAAAGGAAGAAGATGAGAGGGAAAGAAAGAAAGAAAAGAAAAAACATCAATGGGAGAAAAAAAATACCCATCGAAACAGACAACTGCAATGTAACCGCAACTCTTTTTATGGTTTTATTGTGCGTATTCATTCACTTCCTGTTATGCCTGACAATGCCTGACACCATCAAATAGGCAGAAAATGGTAAGATTTTTCCTTTACTTCCTGTTATGCCTGACACCATCAAATAGGCAGAAAGGGGAAAATTTTGTCTTCACTTCCTTTTATGCCTGACACCATCAAATAGGCAAAAAGTGAGAAGATTTTTCCTTCACTTCCTGTTATGTCTGGCACCATCAAATTGACAGGAAGTGGAATTTTTTTCCTTCACTTTCTGTTGTGTCCAACACCTATCAAATAGGCAGAAAGTGGGAAGACTTTTCCTTTACTTCCTGTTATGCCTGACACTATCAAATAGGTAGAAATGGGAAGATTTTTCCTTCACTTCCTGTTATGTCTGGCACCATCAAATTCACAGGAAGGGGATGTTTTTTTTCCTTCACTTCCTGTTGTCTGATACCCATCAAAAAGGCAGAAAGTGGAAAGATTTTTTCCTTTTACTTCCTGTTATGTCTGACACCCATCAGTTAGACAGGAAGTTGGAAGGTTCTCCCTAACTACGTGTTCTGTTTGACACAAATCTGTAAACGTGAAGTAAGCCAGTATATTGGAAGCAAATTCCCCTCCCGCCGCTTGCTCTTCCCATCTATGACAGGAAAGGTGAGTTGTGGGTTGTCAGTTTATTTTCCCATTCCCTTCACGCCGAGGCACGACATCGGTGTAGGTGTGATGACGTCAGTGACCAGAATTAATTGCGATGCGTTTCGGGGCATGCGCTGGCCTCTTAGCGGAAGTGCGGTCCTTTGTCAAGCATAGGAATGGCAATCTGCCTTTGCTATTCCTATACTTGACACAGGAGCGCGCTTCCGCCAATACCGGGCAGCGCATGCTCCGAAACGCTTCACAAATAATTCTGGTCACTGACGTCATCACGCTGACGTCGTGCCTCAGTGTGCATTCCAGACGCCATCTTGCGGAGTACGTGCATGCCAGCCAACTCCACATCTGTCTCCCTCCTGCTACCACGCTTGTCCAGCGAGACACGGATGTCAGGCATCTGTCACAGCCGTTCCACACTGGTTTATACAAACATGCCTGTTTTACTTTATATACAGTTGTGTTCAGAATAATAGCAGTGTGTTGAAAAAAGTGAATAAAGCTCAAAATCCTTCTAATATCTTTTATTTCCATCCACACAAATGCTTTGGGGACACGACACATTCTATTCCAAATCAAAACATGAACGAAAATGTATCAAATTTGTGTTGTTCCTCTAAAAAAAAATTGAAGAAAAGTGAATATTAGACGGTTCAAAAAAATCGCAGTGTTTGTATTCTTCTTTACAAACTCAAACATTCACTATATAAACTGAGAAATGTTTGAAGATTTTGCTTTCCTTTGAATGACTTCATGAATATTTGGTTGTAGTCGCACTGTTTCTGAGAACTGCTGTACATCTGTGTTGCATGGAGTCACCCAACTTCTGGCCCCTGTGATCAGGTATTCCAGCCCAGGATGATTGGACCACATTCCACAGTTCTTCTCTATTTCTTGGTTTTGCCTCAGAAACGGCATTTTTGGTGTCACCCACAAGTTTTCTATTGGATTAAGATCCGGGGCTTGGGCTGGCCACTCCATAACGTCAATCTTGTTGGTCTGGAGCCAAGATGTTGCACATTTACTGGTGTGTTTGGGATCGTTGTCTTGTTGGAACACCCATTTCAAGGGCATTTCCTCTTCAGCATAAGGCAGCATGACCTCTTCAAGTATTCTGATGTATTCAAACTGATCCATGATCCCTGGTATGCGATAAATAGGCCCAACACCGTAGTATGAGAAACATCCCCATATCATCATGCTTGCACCACCACCATGCTTCACTGTCTTCACAGTGTACTGTGGCTTGAATTCAGTGTTTGGGGGTCGTCTGACAAACTGTCTCCGCCCACTAGACCCAAAAAGAACAATCTTACTTTCATCAGTCCACAAAATGTTGCGCCATTTCTCTTTAGGCCGGTCAATGTGCTCTTTGGCAAATTGTAACCTCTTCAGCACATGTCTTTTTCCAACAGTGGGACTTTGCGGGGGCTTCTTGCAGATAGCTTGGCTTCACATAGGCGTCTTCTAATTGTAACAGTCCTCACAGGGAACGTCACACCTTCTTTCATCTTCCTGGAGCTGATTGTTGGCTCCTTTACATTTTGGCTATTCTTCTATCCATTCCAATGGTAGTTTTTCGCTTTCTTCCGCGTCTTTCAGGTTTTGGTTGCCATTGTAAAGCATTTGCGATCATTTTAGCTGAGCAGCCGATCATTTTCTGCACTTCTTTATATGTTTTCCCCTCTCCAATCAACTTTTTAATCAAGGTACGCTGTTCTTCTGAACAATGTCTGGAACGACCCATTTTCCTCAGAATTTCAGAGAGAAATGCACTGTAACCAGCATGTCCAACATTTGCTGCCTTCCTTCCTTAAATAAGGGCAATAATTGCCACCTGTTTTTCAAAGAATGAATGACCTCACTAATAGAACTCCACACTGCTATTTTTTTGAACACGCCCCTTTCAATTAGTGATTCAATGACACAGAATCAGCAAGAGCAGCATGCATGTCATGACTGTTGGGTCTGTTGGATTTCTATTACTCTACTACACCTGCTAGGAAATTACCGTATTTTATTTTCCGGCGTATAATAAGACGACCCCCTACTTTTCCTGTTTTAAAATATAGGGTTTGAGCTATACTCGCCGTATAAGACTACCCCTCTTCCAATGCACACCAAATAAAAAAATGAAAAAACATCAGATTTTGATTTCAATATGGTATGCTATTTCAGTATGGTATTCCAATGATGGGACACTATTCCTCC